AATCTAAACATCTTAATCTAAAAAATCCTTGAAAAAAAGTGATAAAAACAATAAAAATCGAATTTTTGAGTGCCTAAAAAGTATTCTTAGAGGTTTAAAAAATCTGAAAAATTCAAGGACACTCATGACATGTCAAATGACACATTACACCCATTTTTAGGGGAAAAAAAATTTTTTTGACTTTCACTTGACAGAGAATCATCCATATGCATATTTAATTTCTATTTGTTTAAATTAATGTAACTTAAGTAAACTTGCTAGCTTATTATAATAGCCAGCGGCGTTAATTTTTCTATATTGATTCTATTAAGAAGGATTTTACATTATAGTTTGAAATTCATGACCCGGATGAGATTATAGAATAATTACAAATCTACAGTCTTCTGAAAATGAAAAAATCAATCAAATACAATGTTAATATTAGCTTTTGAATAACTATGATTGATGCAAAATATAGGAGCTAATATATTTCATTAGCTAACCTACTAAAACTCAAATTCTTGATCTTGTGATAACAAAAACAATATTATGTAATTACATGCTCTAACATAGCTTAGGGTATCGCCGTATACTTACTGAAATTGATATTAGTATAAGGTAAGCACAATTTAACTTTCACAAATCAACCTCTGACGATATCGCACTTTGATAATTTGAGTTCGAGAATATCGCAAGTATCGCAACTGATGGTGGATGCATACGCGCGCCTATGCGATAACTTTAATATACCTGATTCTTTCGATACTTTTCCATGTGATTGATAGTTTTCAAGATCTTTGATAATACTGTAACGGATTTTAGAAGAAAAGGATTAGATGATAATAAGGCTAAGACAGTCAAAGCGATACGAAGGCGACACCAAGGCGAAAGCAGTAACGACATAAACAATGTCTGCAACGCGCATACTCCCATTGTCGTTGTCATGGTTACAGATCATGCGCGTAGCAGACATTGTTGATGTCGCCACTGCTTTTGCTTAGTGTCGCCTTCGACTCACCGTTGCCTTCGTATCACTTTGACTGTGTTAGCCCATAGAGTACGATATGGATACGCGTGCCTATAGGATATATGGTAGTTATAATATTTAACTCTAAACTTCGATTTGACAAACTACTTCGAGAATTTTAATACGACTCGAGATTTTCGATATTAACTCGCAACGGATATGTGATTAAAAACGATAAATACAATTGTTGAGGAAGGGTCAATCTTAAAGTTAATGTTTTTTTTCGAGTTTTGACTATATAAGAAAAAAAAAAGACAAGTGGTATAATAAAACTGAAGGGTACCCGATACAATCAAAAATACACGGAAATTCGATCATTTATCTACTACATTTAAAGGTTATGAGCCAATAAAGTGGGAAAATATTATAAATACATGATTTATTCGCATTTTAAGAATTTGTAAGTTAAAAATGATTATTTTAACAATGATGATTCATAGCCCGTAAGAGAATAGATGGAAAAGCATACATCTAATTATCTGATTTTGAGTTAAGGTAAAAAAGTGCGAAATGGATAAAAAACGTGGTATTTTCGAATTTTATCCTTTTGAAAGAGTTAAATGGGGACTTATACAATAGAATTTGATAATGTGGAAAGAAAAAATGTTGAAAAATGTTCAATTAACAACTGAGTTTTGAGGTTATGTGCAAATAAATGAGTAAAAAAACGGTTTTTTTATTTTTTGATGCTTTCCGCTCAGAATTTGAAAATATTGCCTTGGCCATTCAAAAGAACAAAAAAATACACAAAAAATTACTATTTAAAAGTTAGCCAAAAATTATTTATTTAACCTAAAAAATTATTGAAAATTTCAATAATTTTTCCTAGGCTCAATTTTCAATATAAAAGTTTGAAAAAAATCAGGCTATTTTGTGTTCAAAAGATACACCTTCATGAATTTTTTCAGATTTTTTAAAGCAAAATTGCGTCCAGAAAAAAATAAAGTCGAAAAAAGCTTCTTTTTTAGATTTAAGCGGTTCCGTGGCCTCTGGAAAGCTGAAACTTTGTATGAAGTCATGTTTTTATACACTTTATCGAAAGCACAGATCGCGCTGCTGATCGGTGCGGGGGCACTTTTGACCATCTTATCCCGCTATAGCATTTACTATTATAAGACAATAAATCACCAAACAAAAGTCGGTAGTATCTCTGATCATAAAACTTTCGGCTTTTGGTTGATTTGAGATGAAACCGCAAACGTTTACTTATACAGATACACAAGATAAGTGTACTTATACAGATTTTTTTATACAGATACAGAAGGCACGTGGTGGCTGGAGGTAAATATTGTGTCGATGTCTCGGTATTGAAAATAGGGCGCCTATAGCTGGCTGGTATACAATGGATTAACCACTGCAGCAATTAAACGGTGGCCTATGGTACTCGTTAGCACCAGGTAAAGATTTTGTGATTGCAGAAACAAACGGGAAGACAACAATAGGACGTTGTAGTAGCAGAAACAGGACAGCAAGGAAAATATAGTTGACATCAAAGTCTATAATTAATAAGACATAATCCAAGTTGGTGGGACTTGCCTATAATAAATGACTAACCGGTCAAGTTCAACTAACTCATTCAGATACTGGTGCATGTTGCGTTCTGCACACACGATAACCTCAATATAACAATTAAGGTCATCCTGAAGGGGGAGAGATATTCTGTTCAATCTAGAACTCGCTGGTTTCCCCCTTTCGAAATGGGCATGTATAATAAAATAAAAGAAAAGAAATCAAAGCCAGTGGACTGTATAAAACTCTATTTAAAAAAGGTGTAAAATTAAACATAAATATACATAACCAAATATACCATTATAATTAAACATGAATAAATTACATCAAAGAAGAAGAATATATTACAAACTTAACTATTAGCTACTATGAAATACACCAACAGACACACCAAAAGACAACCATAAACAGACCAAAACAAAAATGACGATTCTATAAAAACCACTGCCAAAACAAAAGACAAAACCTACCATAGCCGCAAACATACTATACATAAAAGATACAAAAACAAATTAACACGTTAAGCACGGTGAGACATCAACGCAATGTCTCACTGTCCGGTAAACTTAGGCCGGCGTGACACCAATAGACGTCTCATGTCAAACAGAAAATAAGACGGCGTGGCTCACTGTAAAGTCACACGATAATGATAAATTTATGGGAGGCGATAAATAGCCGTCTATAGAAACATCTAATGTGAACCGGTCTGGAATTTTTAAAAACATTCAGTACTTACAGTCAACTGAGTGTCATCAATGAGGAGATATTGTATTTCAAAAATAAAATGCATATAAAGTAAACAAAACATTTATTAGCAAAAACTCAGTTACAAAGTAAAGACATAGTTTTATATAAATGAAAAAAAAATCGCATTACTTTGATTTTGTAGCAGAATGCGTTTCAAAAAAACATGGAACACAAAAACTCTTTTTACAAGATGTGCACTGCCATTTCGTTCTTGGAGTTTTGCTTTGTGCTTCTTGTCGTCCTAAAGTTTCTTTTTTTAAAGCATAGCACACAACACATCGACCTTTAGCGTGCTCTTGTAATACATGACGCTCATCATTTTGGATGTTCTTGGCCGATACAATCTCATGAGTTACATCTAAAAGTGTCAAGGCAAGATGCTCTCTGAATTCAGTAATCTGCATTTTATTTTTCGTTATTTCCTTATAACACAAGTATACATTCACTAAAGCAGAACCTAAAATTAACTCGATTGCTAACTTCCGGTACCATTTCGTTCCCTTTCTAAGAGAATGCGAATATGCTTTCAATTGATCCGAAAGATCAATATAAGCTTTGGCTTTGTTATAATCCGCGATGGCTTTTGGTTTTTCTATCTCTTTTCCACGTTGTCTCACTCCCACTACCTCATCGGTGTGTTTGGTGGTCAATAGCAGCACATCTCTCGTATCTTTCCATTTCATCATAACGACACCTGTACCACTTTCCTGGGCAAATACTTCATGTCTTTTTAGTTTTTTTGCCACAACTTCTTTCGCGTTCAGTTTTCTGTTCGTCCTTACAGTTCCAACAATATGTGTTTTTCTGTTCAATAATTTAGATGCTAAATCCACACTAGTATAGTAGTTATCCGTATGGAGGGTTCGACCTTTGTCCAAAAGATTGTCCATCAAACTCATGACTACATTCGCTGTTGCATTACTGATACCATCAGGTCCACAATACACTTGTAGATTATAGGTATATCCACCAGTTGTACAAAGTTTGTACAATTTGATTCCAAATGTGTTCTTTTTGTTTTTAATGTATAAACAAAATTTTAAACGACCTCTAAAAGGAACAAGAGTTTCGTCAATATATACATCTGGTCCTGGCACAAGAACGTACTGAAATCTTTCTATCAACTTGTTTCAAATCTGTTCCTTGGCATGAGATCTTTTACCTTGTTAGCGTATAAAAAATTAGTGCTCCAATAAGCTTTTAGACGTGGTAGCTGAACTAAACCCATCCAAATAATTACACCAAGAAATATTTCCATTTCTGTGTTATCAGTGGGAACCCATTCCTTTACGTGGCCTTTTGGCTTCTGCTTCTCTCTCAACACTTGCTCGGCATAAAGATTGGTTTGGTACACCATATGGTCAATAATCTCATTTGTAATAAATAGTTTGAAAAAGTTGTATGGAGTCTGCTCATATCTATCGTAGAATTCAGCTTTAATTCCAATATCAACACTAGAGAAATCAAACGTTCTTAGTGAAGTACCATCAACGGGTCCCCATACTATTTGAGTATCCTGGGTAGTGTTATTTTCTTCATCGGCGTCTTCGGATATATTTCGAGCTATCACATCTTCAATAGTTTGATCAATCTGTAACAAAATAACTGCTGTGATCCAAAAATTTTTCAATTGATTTATAATAGCAATGTCGCCAACAAAAAAGAAAGATCTGAACTAAGCTTACTCACCATACTGTTGTCGTGTTCAGTTGTAAGTTCACTGATACATTCAACTGACGTGGATGGAGCAAGTTCTCTTTCAACATTGATCGCCTCGGTGGTTTCAAATTTTTTTGCAAGTTTTGTAGGAATTTCTTCATCACTACAGGTTGCGTCACTACTATCAGGTACATACTCATCGGATAAATAAATGTCTTCAAATTCACTTATTTTATCGTCTTCATCAGATAACAATTCATCCCACAATGTTTGCAGCCTACGTTGCTCTTGTTCATAATCACCGTTAGCCATGCTGCTCTCTTGATGTTTCGACTTAGAATGATGAAATGTGCGTAGTCAATGAAATCAGAAACACAAACCAACTTGTTGACATGCGCAAAGTGTGACATCACATTCATATCTCGCCGTCTCTGTAGGCCGATATATTCGGAAAGACGGCGAGACATTAATGTGATGTCACGAGAAAAATGATAAAAAATACGTAAAATTTTGCAATATTAGAACTGAACTATATGTCAGTTATACAGGGTGACAATTGGCAATAGGACGATTTTGAACTAAATGAATACACAAGAAATTTGCAAGAAAATACTATTTTATTAACATCAAAATGAAGCTTATATTATGCCATTTACAATCTAATTAATTATGGAAAATAATGTCATCAAGATGGTGACCATCACGTTGGATGCAGTTTTCGATCCTCTTTATGAAATCTTCCATAACACGCTCTAACATCGCTCGATCAATAGTCCGGATTTCCTGGCGGATTGCGTTCTTCAACTCGATCAAATTACGAGGTTTGCTAGCATATACACGACTCTTCAAATACCCCCATAGAAAAAAATCACAAATTGACAGGTCTGGAGACCTTGGAGGCCACGGTAAATCTCCAAAACGTGAAATGAGTTGTCCTGGGAACAGGTTGCGGAGAATATTCATTGAAGCATGGGCAGTATGTGCCGTGGCACCATCCTGCTGAAACCACACATTCCTTGGGTTTATCCCTTTTCTGCGTAGTTCTGGAACCAAAAAATTTTGTATCATGTCAACGTAGCGAATAGAATTAACGGTGACGGATTGGCCAGCCTCTTCGAAAAAATATGGCCCAATAATGCCAGTTGGACCAATGGCACACCACAACACTGTGACTTTTTGAGAATGTAAAGGACGCTCATGAATATTTCGTGGGTTTTCAGGAGCCCAGTACCTGTAGTTCTGTTTATTAACGGTTCCGTCCAAATGGAAATGAGCTTCGTCACTCATTAGAAGATGCTGACCTAAGTTATCCTCCAAAAGAACTTGCATTCTCGTAGCAAAATCCTCACGTTGTTCAACATCTCTTTCCATTAATTTCTGGACAATCTGCATTTTGTAGGGGTGAAATTTTAGGTCCTTATGCAACATTTTTCTCAACGTTTCCCGATTAATGTTTAGCTCAATTGCATGTTTTCGGGCGGATCGTGTAGGGCTTCTGACGACGGCATCTCTCACTCGCTGTATGTTTACAGGAGTTGTTACTGTTCTATTCGGACCTTGTTGCTTTTTTTTCATAACACTGCCTGTTGTTCTAAAATTCTTTATCCATCTTAAGATTGTGTTGCGAGATGGAACCGCTCCACGCCTACCAATATTAAAGTGAATGCGAAAAAGCCGTTGCGTAATGATCACGGATTCTTGATTTCGGATAAACGTATCGTATGTAAACGTGCGATGTTCTACCGTCCAGTGCTCCATGTTTACTGAAATGGCACACTACTACAGACGTAGTAACGCCGCGCTTGTCCCCCTCTCCTCCCCTCAAGCTTCGTACTATGCGTCCTAAAAACATCCGGGTCCCGATTGTCACCCTGTACATATTGAGCATTCTATTTAACAAAAAATAAAAAAAAAACTCCCGTCCATGCGGAACTTTTTTTACTTAGTACACCCGTGCTTAACGTGTTAATCATATTACAAAAAAAAATACATAAAAATATGGATTTATATGTCATTGGTATAAAAAAAAGTAATAATGCGTTAGCATACAAATAATTATTACAATTATTAATATAAAGCACAAAGCAATCGGTGTTAAAGTACAAAAATTTACAGTACAGTAAATAAACCGCGAAACAAATGCAAAATGTCCAATTGACAAATGAGATAATGTTCCAATAAAGTATCAAATAAATATACCAAGTGCACGTACTTGGTATATGCAGCAAATCGTATATAAATGGTGTATTGTTCCTTACCCCATGAAAAAGATAGCCCCAACGCTATCGCAAAATTATGTCTACAGCGACACTTTAACTACCCAAGTTTTGTGATGCACATTAGCGTCTTTCTTGGCCGATGCGGAATCAAGTACCCTTCGTCTTCAACATACACATCTGCATCGGTTGAGAGATGCATTTCGACTCTGGTTTTGTAACAAACGCAAACCCTTATTTTAACTTTAAAAACACATGTGGCATGTGGAAATCGTCCTTTATTATCTCGCAGATGGCCGTATTGGAATGTTTAGCCCTTATCTCTTTTGGCCCTTAAACACCGCTGTGCAATTGTATATGTAAATCTCAGTTTAAATATACGAGGAGAGTCGAAACTATTAAAAAGTCTATTAATATATTTACAAATGTTTATATACAGTTGCGAAACTGCAACAGTGCACAAGTGACGATACTTTCTGAATAGGGTTTAAATTTTCGTTCAGAAGGGGGAAGTTTCGGATGGATGCAAAAATAGCCCTAAACATGTATTGTAACGAGAACGTTACTATAACATTCCGTAACCATTTTTTTATTAAATTTTAAAATCTCAATCCTCTTAATGATTATCTGAATCTTAAAAATTTAAGTTGGTATGAAACAGCGACACCAAGCGTCCAAGTTTGAAATCATAGTTTAGCGGCAAATTGGGTACCCGAAGCGCACTTCTGTTTGAACTTTGGTAGCAAAAACTTGAGTCCAAGGTAGGGGCCATACGTGGCATGGCTTTTGGAATTTAAGAGTTTTTTTTATGAAGAAGTAATAGGAAGTTTTAGTTTGGGGTTTTTTTTTATTTTGAGTGTCCGGTTTGGTTTATAGCCACTGTGAGCCGTAAGTATCCAAGTTATAAATAAAACGAAAATAAAAAAAGTCATCAGCCATTTTGAGATCCTATATTGTCACGTTTCAATTCGATATACTTATCTGAACTTTTTTCCATCTGTCATTAAGAAATACTCAACATCTAAATAGATAGTGTTAATTGATTTAAAATCATATGTATTTTAATTTTATTTCCCGGCCGTAAAACATAATTATCTATCGGTAAAATTGCTATTAAGAGTATCGTTAAAATATTCTGTCTTATATCGCTCTTTATATTATAAAATATGTTCGTATCATATGCTTTTCATTAAAATTGTTAATCCATTTAAATTGTCAAACCATACGACGGTCAAATTATCTATAAATCCATTAAGTTTTTTTGCTCTCACAATTCATAAGTAACATTTAAAAACCTTTCAAGGTTCATAAACCTTGTTTTTTTTCCTACTCTGTAAAGTATAAGGAAGAACTCTAAAAGAAATGTTTTTTTAGCCTACCTTTGGGATTCAAACAGAAGTCGGGGAAAGAATTTGCTTTTGGTTTTTTTTGAATAATTTAAATAAGAAGTACCTATTAAGTTGAAACCTAGTCCGGTTATACCTGGTTCCAGGCCTGTTTTTTTTTCCTTGCCGTAGCTGCTCCCCAGAGGTCCAGATCTGACCTTCCGATTACGAAAATTTTAGGAAGCCAGCGGGAATTATCTCCCTTAAAATATAGTAAATCTGGATTAAGTTTATTTCTTAGATTTATTTTTTTTTACCTATAATATTTTTTGTATAATTTTTTTGTATATTTAACTTCTAGTATTTCATATAATAATAAGAGTCGTCATTTTTTTAAATAATTTATTGAATAATATTTAAATACAAATTGTCAACTACAGGTAGAGGTTTTTAAGTCCTCCCTTCTAACTCACTTGTATGGTTTCTTGTGTACACATTTAATCAGAGAGTTATTTTTTTTAGATTTTATATCAATATTATCAATATATATTTAAACGTTTGGACACTTATCTCGTCAAGATAGTGTCCTTATTACTTGTTACTGTTATATTCAATAAAGATAGAATACATAGTTGCATCTCTGAGGCAAATAAATAACTTTTTTAGGTCAATTATTACCATTTTTTTTTCGATATTTTATTATTTGTAAATTTAGATCATCCAGGATCAGTTGTATAATCAGGGCATTTTTTTTGTATATAACTAGATTAGCTGTACATAATTGGTGTTGGGTATATTAAATTTAGATTGTATATATTTGGCTATTGATTAAAATTTTGGTGAAAACTAAACATTTCAATTCATATCTATATCCTTTCTTTATTTCAGCAAACAGCTTTACAAGATACCTTGGAAAGTTTATGTAAATACTTTCCTGGCGCCCATTCACATTTTGGAGCAACTTCTACAATCACTTTGATTTATCTTAGTTATATACCTATAGTTTTTTTATTACCTTGTCATTCATTTTCTAATTCTACGGTCTCTGTAGGGCATGCAAATTGGCCGAATTCTCCTTTGAGTGCCAAGTATTCACTCTCCGGCACCTTCTGCTAGCCAGCTTAAATTATACGTTATCCTTGCCATTATCCTACCCGTTTTTATTAAGCATATTTTTATTCGCTAATAAGCATATTTTATTACATTGGCGTCCAACAGCATAAAAAAATCTTATTTGTTACAGTATTAAAAACAAGAAACCAATTCGAGTCAACTATCTATTTACTCGATAGAAATACTCGAAGGGAAGATAGAGGGTAGGAGAGGTCTCGGACGTAAAAAAATGTCATGGCTGCGCAATATTCGACAATGGACAGGAATCCACAGCTATGAAATGCTTCGCCATGCTGCTAAAAATAGAATTATTTAATCCAGAATATTTAACATCTCACCTGACAAGACGATGTACGGTGGACGCCTACGCAGAAATGCACGGCACCTTAAGAAGAAGAAGATCTATTTTTTTAGACATGAGGAGAAAGTTGCTTTCTCTGTGAAAAGATTTAGAAAATGCGTGTTTCTTCAATTTACAAAAGGCAAAAGCGAGGCCCAATTTCAATAATTGGACAAGAAATCGATGCGAGAAGCAACATTAAGATTTGCTAGCCATGAGCACAGCAAAAAAAAGAACAGTAGGCGGTATTGTAGACTAGTGCTGAGTTTCATACTTTTTTGTTTATTGTATTTTTAAAATTTAAATATTATATTTAAAATTAAATAAAGTAATTTTAATATTTACTTATTTTTTTATATTTTAAACAAATTCTATAAATTATTGTTCGCTCCTAAGGCCGCCTGTTAATGTATTAACAAAGCATAGAAGCATATGTTGTTTACTTATGGCAAACCTGTCAAATTCAGACCAAATAATAATAGAATATAAATAAATATCATTTGATAGTAAATTTAATTATTATATAAACTAAATGTGTTTAAAAAATTAATTGTATTTATATTAAACTAAACGAGAATTACTTTCAACATTTGATCTTTTATTTTTAATTAGGTAATAAAGGCGTACATTTATATATTTTTCTGCTACCGCTTTTATTAATAATGCTCTGTGATTATCTAATCCTGACTGATCAAACGTATGCTTGTTTAAATTTATAAATACATTACTATTTACAAATTGTTTAACCACATTAATAACAATTGCTTCAGCTGATATATGTTTAAAATTTGAATCTATTATTTTATTTTTTATAATTTTTTCAGATTTTAAACAAATATCGAATACATCTGTTGAAGGATATTGTAAACCACCTTTATTTTTTTTTATTTATGAAAGAAAAAAAGTATAGATCTTTTGTGGAACTAATTAATGTATTAGAACATTCAGTACAAACTATTTTCGTTTTTAACCAGTGAACAACATGACCTGCTATATAGGCAACTACATACTTTGCGTATTCACTTAGAGTATTTGGCAAGTAATCATGATCCATCATAACATCTACTTCATTAAAAGCTGGATCTTGCGGTACGATTCTAAAATCTCTTGAAGATTTATTTATTTGCAAGATGGGATCACATTTTAGGATGGACACTTTTTCTAATGGTATGCAGTTGCCTCTAAAACTGTCACTCAGTTCAACGTGAACTAATATTTTTTTATAAGCTGAAATGAACTGACGAGTTGTTGGGTTATTATTATAGCCCCCTTGTGATGTAATACTTCCAAAAAATAGTTCAATATGATCTTGGGACAACTTATACAATGGCAAAAAAGTTAATATGCCAGAAGTTACTAATGATTTATATAAAAGATCTAAACTTTTTTTATGCAAACTTTAAGACCTAAAAACCCTGTGTAAACCACCATTAGTTTTTAATGCACTAAGGTATTTGTCAGTGAACTGTAGAAAACTGCTTATTTCTGAATAATTTTGAATAGATAAGGGTTTTTTATAACTAAACTGTAATAAATTTCTGGAATTAAGGACATCAAATAAATTGTTCATGATCATTACAAATCTTGCTGTAGCTTCAACACCTTTGAATTGCTTTAACTGTAGTTCCTCTGAACAAAAAATCAATGCAGATGCAACACTTTCAATAAATACTTGGGTAGCAAGACGAACTTTCATTTTCTGAAAAAGCTATATCGTCGGTGATACGGCAATACGTTCTATGTCAAAAATTATGAATTTTCAGAAGAGGCTAAAAACGTGATATTTGGAAAACTCTTCAAAACTGTTTTATTATTATGTGGTATTATTATCTTGCTTTTTGGGATATGTTGAAAATAATAATACCTATCTTTAAGACATTAATGCGGAAAGAGTTACGACCACATAGAACGTATTGTCATAAATAGATATTACGCAAATAGGTATAGGTTGCTGACATAGAACCTATTGCAAATGAGGTAGTCTAAGTTAAAATAAACTAAAAGAATAAAAGAGAAAGGAAAATAAATAGAATTAATCTTTCCTTATTACAAAACATGTGCAAATAAAAATCTAAGTTTAGCTGTGGTTAATATCAACATAAACTAAAACAAATTTCAAATTTTATTTCTGACACTTTAAAAAAACCAGTGGTAAGTAAAAAGTTTTATAAAAAAAGTTTTAACGAAAAGATTTAATATGCAAACAGGCATTTAAGCGGTAAAAATCCATGTGGTAAAGTATCATAAAAATGGTGATGATCACCTGGTATTAATGGTTTCATTTCTTGTAAGTGAACAAATTTTGTAGGCTCTATGGGTAATGATGCTTGATATAATGGTACTTGATTTGATGAGATGTTCAATTGTTTAGGTCTTCTAGGTAAATCTGCCCATTCCATGCTAAAATCAGTTTATTTTATTACTCGTTCCACTGAGTCATAGTGAAGTCCCACGAGGTCACTAACACATAGGTCGCCTTTTTTATTTCCAGGTCTAATACTGGTGTATCGTTCCACAACAACATTTTTGAAGTTTGCATAATTAAGATAATCAACGTTGTAGGGTGCTGGGATCTGTTTAGCGGATTTTATAATGTTAACATAATCTGCCGGTACAAAAATCTCGACGCCTGAGTAATTTTTTTTCTATGCTACTATGAATTGAGTCGACCTCCATTTGCGTATGACCGACTTCCAGATACTTTTGTTGTATTGTAACCTGCTTGTGAATTGCCAGTTCTAACAGAGCATTTGATATGGTAACAGATCGATTCTGGTAATCACTCCATATCACTATTTTTGACGGATTACATTGATTTACTTCAGCTTCAAGGTGTTGAACCAAAATTGATGCAAAAACATTACTGTCTAAACCGCCGTTACTCTCGTGCCAAATATAACATGTGGCTTCCTTTGTTTTTAAATTATACATAGTGTAATTGTGAACCTTCAATTTTGTTTTGTAATATGTAGATGAAGCTTGTAACCTTGGTGATAACAAAACAGCTTGAACGTCTACTGCAAATACTAAGGTGTCGTTGTCAGATTTGGTTTTATCATCATCTTTCTCTTTTCGGGCTCTATCTTTTTTATTAGAATGAATATCATAAGCTGCCTGTGAAAGGTTGCCATGTTTAAATGCACTGCACTGGTGACACTGATCTTTTCGTGGAGAAAATATTGCCATATTTAATTTATGGAAAATTTTCATAAAAAATTGACGGGAGCATGGTATGATGTTACTCTGATTCAAATATTTGTTAAACAGATGCATTTGACTTTCCCACACTGGTTCCAAATATAGTTTTTGGGACGAAACTCTGCAGTAATGTGATTCAACTTGTGGCAAACTATTGAGGAATTCTGTTACACATTTTTCTTTTTCTTCATTAGTTTTACTGACTTCTTTGGTGATATGGCTGACTATTGTATTTTGCAGAACCCAGTCTCTTAATTGCCGTTGTCCAATACCTAACGTAGACATAAACATTTGTTTACAAACGTGTAATCTTGGTGTACTTTCCTTCATAGATAAGAAATATTTAAACGAAATATTTTTCCTGCAAGCGGCATCTTTGGACTTTCTCGAGTATCGTGGCGATCCTATTAATACAAGACTGCGTATGTAAATTTTTCTAGAATCCCAAGATTTAATCTCCCACAAATGTTTAAATATTGAATTTCGCTGTTCTTCTGTAATTTCGGAACACTGGAATTTTTGCCGAGGACCTCTAATGTTTTGTACTCCCGTATGCCCACTACAACGTAATTTCAAAGTTTTTCCTGGTTTTATGCTGGTTTGTTTATATTTTACGTCAGAGTTTTTCTGAAAGCCCAGGTACGATTCACCCTTAAGCCTAGATAAAGCATTTTTTGCGCGTTTCCACTTAGATGGATCACCTTGCCCTTTCTTTGGACGTTTCTTCTGACGGCCATCACTAGTCCCAACTACAGATAAATCACCAGTAACAGGATACAACTCTTCTTTAGTAGAGCTGTCATCCGATGTAGCAGAATGCAGGCTAATATCATTAGGAGCATATTCTGAGCTAGAATCGCTGAACCCTGTAGGTTCTGGATCATTACATCCACTTTCGTCAGACGAATCTTTAGATCCGAATTTTGTTTTCAGTTCTCCGGTGCTCTCATCTAGGATTGTCTGCTGATGTTGATCTAGAGCCAAACTAACCAATTTCCTAGCTCGATTCATACTTGACATGTACGCAGGTTGCTCTGAAACAATAATATTAAAAAATTAAAATTCAACTGCAATATGTTTGATGTCAAAATAAGTTTAGTCAACTTATACATAAAACGTTTTGCAGTTTCACATTTAAAGTTATTTACATTAATTTTAGTATTTACAGCAAACCAAACACAAAAATTATACTTCTGTTATATGTAGTAGCTACTAGTAATAAACATAACACAAAATAATGAAGGAGTCAATAAATTGTACTTAGTAAAAGTGAGGTTAATTTCTATTGTAACGAAATATTTTCCTAAATCAGTAGTAAAATATATAGATTTAAATATGATTAGGATGCAATAATATCATAAATGCTAATAAACTGTATTTTTAGTTATACTTACCAAAAGTTTTCAATATTTATCAGCAGTAATGCACATTCCACTATTTTTAAACAAAATACGTTGTCACATAGAACGTATTGCAGTCAGTGATGTCGCGCCGGCTGACCTAGAACATTTTTAAAATCTGATTTGTAATCAGACATTTACATGGGACGAATTGCAGGTGCATAGTCAAGGTCATAAGAACACTATTGGTTAGATAAAACAAATAACCGAAGATTTTGACATAGAACGTATTGCCGTATCACCGACGATATGCTGATGTGTTAATTTATTAGAAAGATGAAAAGATTGTTTTTCTTGCAAATTATTAAGCTCTTTTAACTAGTTCCACAATAACTTCATTGTTGTCATCGAACATGATACCCTTCTCCCCTAAGGTATTACGAACCAATTTTAACATATGGCAAGGATCCAAAAACAGTACAACATCATCATCACTTGAAGGATGCTTTAAGTTTGTTTTAAAATTTTTATGATCTAGATTGCAGCCAAGACGAGCTGCCATTGTTAAATTTTCCGGGGGGGCATCACAAGTAATACTACTTTTACGCCAATGTTATGGCACTTCTGTAAGCACTGTTGAACTAAACCTTTTTTTGCTCTCCTGTAATTCCTGCTATTAGAAAATATCCAACTGGAATCTTGAAATGGTCATTGATGCAGTTCAGCAAGAACACAAAGGCGCTATTTGCAAGAGTGGCATCTTGAGTTCCTGTTCCCATATCAACATAACCATAACATTTATCTTTTTCTGCAACCCATTCCTCATGTTGTCGGATACACATTTCATCTGTAATTAAACTATATAATTTACCAGTATCTATAGATGATTTTGTTTCTAAAGCTCGAAAAGGTTCTGTAGTAAACCCAGGTTCACCATCAACACTTTGATACCACCTGCTCAATGTTCTTGGGTGAGGCAAGCAAGTTTGAAAAACTCTTCTGACAAGATTGTACGCAGCAGGTGAATAATAATGTAGGGTCAAAGCAAAGACTTTAAGTTGCTCTGAATATTGTCGAGGTAGTGATTGATTTTTAATTTTTTTTATATTGCCTTAAAACCAATTCTTCTGGTCCACCTATTTTGGAAATAATATCAAGAACCGCTTCCTCTAAATAATTATGTTTTTTCAGTTCTGAAACAATATCCTTCATGATTGCAAGTTTTTTGTTTCTTCGTAATAGTTTTTTCGATAATAAGGACAATTTTCTTCTTCTTTCGCTACTTATTAATTGGCTGCGATTTAATTGTTTAATTAACTTTCGTTTTCTTGGTGTAACATCAACAGAATTATTCATTTTAGTTGATGTGCTGGGCATTTCATCATATGGAGGTTCAATTTGGTTCTGAAAAACAGAACATGTAAAAAGAAGCAAATCTTTTGGAAGCATCTTTTGGAAACCTAAAAATACAATTATATGCATCACTAAGTATTAATAACAAATTTTTATTTTAAATAAAAATCATGATTATTGAACTAAAAAATATTATAAAAAGCTTACACATTGTTTATTAGTATCTTTATGTTCTGTGTATTCATTACTTATATTTTATTGGAAGTGGATATTTTAATTGCTATTTTGGAAACTTTTACAAATATTCAATAATGACTGAAAAATTTATCGAGAAACTTTTCTGTTAAAATTAATGTAAGATTTTTTATGAATAATATTAATTTATTCTCTGAAGTACGGGCCATTTCTTTGTTTACATATTTGTATACTAACCTGTGAAACGATATTCCTGAAGATTTTTTATTAACATCGGCTCTGCTACTGCAACTAGGTAGAGAACAAGAAACCATTATAATTGCACTATCACAATATATTATTACAAGTTTCTATAAAAGTATTATAAAAGGGAAAATATTCGAAAAACAACAAACGTAAACAAACATATATACGACTTGTCAAAGTTTCAACACAATAATTGACAAGAATACCAATATGGCCGAAGTGAGGTCGTTTTTAGTCACGTGATGCCCTCTCCATAGATTTTAACTCGATGGTCTATATGGATAATTTAACGGACATTTAGGCTCTTCAGATCAGAATTACACTATTATATGTAGCCTAAACATCTTATATTAAATATTTTATCACTATTTTACATCCGTAATTATATTTTAAATTAACATTACCAAATAAATAACCCCATTTGACTTACAGTGACAATACAGTGTATGTCTGGTTGCATATACACATGGCTGACTTAAACATATATACTATAAAAAAACTTCTTAAACTTATTTCTTATGCTAAATTCTTAAAAATACCCTCATATAATTATTTTTTAATAATATTAGCTAGTATATAACTTATAAATTATGTCTTTAATTACTATTTAAGTAAATTTATTAATTAAACAGTGTATATCTGGTTGTCTATACACATGGCTGACTTATATAGAATCGAATTTATATTATTATTTAGACATTAAATATAAAACGCTACAATGCCCCTTCTTAAAAGAAAAAACTCGGATAACTTTATCCAGTTTTTGATAAAAGCAAAACAAACAAAAACAAAATCAGAATATGACCTCCTACTTGAGTCGAAACTTCTTAATAATATATTTTAGATGATGGCTAGCATGGGATTAAACAACGACAACAAAGTTAGTTACAAGAATGGGCTAGCGTGCCATCGATCGCCAGACTCTTTAAAGTCGAGTAGACTGAAATGTTTGACTCTAACATAAACTGTAGGTGACATGAGTTTCTATGCCTTGGGGGAAGCTAACCTTATGCCCTGCAGTGAACCTCGCTGACATTCACAGCAGTAACACAAGTGATTTGTCGGGCAGATAGCCATGACACCTCGTTGCCTAAACCAAGTGCTATGCACAAATCCAAAAAAAAATTGCTCTACACATAATATGTAGGCGTTACTATCTCCACTATACGCCTAGCGAGACAGGGAATTCGGCAACGGTTCCACAAAAAAAAATTAGGATATAGACCCAAAATCTATATACCTACATATGACAAAATGTGATTCTCACATGTGTCTCCCAAATAAAATAGGTTACCTGAATTAAAATTATCAAAAGTGAAACAATATTCCAAAGGGATGAAATCAAATCAACATACAAACTTGAAAATACAGACATGGGATAGGATGAACTAATTACTTAAAGATGACATATTGTCCTCATCTGACACAAAAGGCTTTAAATCTTTAATGTGCCACTTACCAAGATCCGAACCATTTAAATCTGACAAACGATAAACCACTGGTGACAATTTTTCCTTGATAGTTGCTTCAATATACTTCGGTGCTAGTTTGGACATATACTTGTTGACAGCACAAGACAAAACCTTATTTCTTTTCAAAACTCTATCACCCACTTGAAATTGGACTTCTCTTCTACGTAAGTTGTAACTTCTAGCGTTACGTTCATATCCTTTTCGAAGATTAGCCTTAACCTTTTCAAAAACCTTATCTAAACCTTTGACTTCCGAAGCATACATGTTACGGTCACCTGGAATTATCTCGATATCTTGATTCTGTTGATCCTTATGATCAACACCATAATAGTTTCCACTTAAAGGAACATGACGGCCATAATTCAGGAAAGCTGGAGTATATCCAGTCACTTCATGCTTTGCAGTGTTAATAGCTTGTCTGATCTTTGCTAAATTCTTGTCCCAATCTACGTGGTCTTTAACATACGTACGTATTGCTGTACCAATGGTTCTATTGTTCCTCTCCACAAAATTACACTGAGGTGCATATACTGGGCTAAACCATACTTTCTGAACGTTATACCTATTACAGAGCTCAATTAAGAGAGGATTGTTCAGATTTGAGGCATTATCACAAATCACATATTGAGGAACACCAAACATTAGGAAAACATCATTTTCCAAAAACTCAACAATATTCTTAGCCGTGGCCTTTCTCAAAGGTTGGACTAAAGTATACTTACTAAACCAATCAGCAACTACTAACAACCACGTATAACCTTTCTTTGAACGAACAAAGGGACCTATCAGATCTATTGCAACTATTTGCCAAGGAAACTTGGCCTCTCTCTGCTTACCCATTTTACCTAATGGAGCATAATTTGGTGTCTTCTGAGCACCACAAACTTTACATGACCTGACAAACTTAAGCACATCAACACGCATCTGGGGCCAATAATATCTTTCCTGAATACGGGACAAAGTTTTGGAAAATCCAAAGTGAGCACACGTAGGTGGCTCATGACATGACTTCATAACTTCAGACCTTTGTGGTTTGGGCACAAGAATTTTCCACTCTACATCATTAGTCTTAAAAGAATTTTTGGTAGGGGCAAACTTATAAACAAAATCATTCTCCACCTTCCACTGTGGAAAACCAAGGGGGGATCGGATTATCTTTGATCTCAAATTATCGAACCAAGGGTCTATTCTATCTACATTAACTTCTAAACAAATAACATGGGGACGACTATCAAAATCTTTCTTTTCAAAAATTGGGTTCAATGATGGCCTATGAGATCTATTGGTCTTAGATCTATTCGAAATACAACACTTAGGACAAGAAGATATGATCACACCTTTATGACCACAACGCCAACAAGATACTGACTTACTTCTACAGTCACGGGAAATATGACCTGGTCTATTACAATTGAAACAAATAATTTT